GGCGGGCAGGGGAGAGGCTGCACTGCGCCCTGACCGGAGCCAAAGAGAGCGAGTTCTCCTGGGAATTCTGCTTTTAACCCCTCTGTGCTCTCAGAGACGTGTCCACCTTCAGCTGGTCACCCCAAGTGTCAGCATCCAAACCTGACCCCTGACTGGATACTGACCTCTTCCTTCTGAGAAAATGATTTTTCCTGTGTCAAACCACGATAACACAAAATGTTTCTGTGATGTCACGCATGACCAATGCCATTGTTATAATTTTAGGTTGTAGCTAAATCCTAATTACCTTTAGATTTCTGTAAGTACAATGAGCTAATTCCTCATGGTGAGTGTTAGAATGAGTTCCAGAGTTTTGGAAGAGGAGTTCAGTGTGAAAGGTGAATGTGTGCTCATATATTTCAACAGCATTTGTGGAGTCCACATTCTTTTGAAGATCCCAAGAGTGTTCCAGGAACTAAGTACACTAAAACTTCATGTTTGTCACACATGTTGAGTCCCCACATGAAATGAACACAGTCTGGGAGAAAGATCCAGTAATTCTGCAGTCCCAGACTGCAGTGGGATCTGCACTGACTGTGTGAGCAGTAAATTGATATAAACCCACTTGTCAAGAGCCATCTGCAGCTCAGGCTGTTGTTGACCTCCCTTCTAGCCTCTTACTGTTTTCACATGGAAATTCTAGAGAGAGATTCAAAAGTATTCATGTGGGCTTTGTCTGGTCACTGAGTTGTGTTACAGGGCAAAGTTGAAAAGAGAATTAGTTTGTTTGAATGACCCAGATTTCCAAGACTGCTAGACGTGGTTGATGTGCACAATTATTATGAGGATAAACAAGTAAATTAGGTGTTCTGATGTTGGCAATGTGGGCTTTTCTTATATTTTGCTATCAGTCAGTATTAACTGCTGCTAGAATATGCTAGCTGTCAGCAAACAGCCATGAAGTAGAACACTTATCTGTGAAAAGAAAAATGTTGTCGTATTCTGCAGACCATAAGATGGAAGGGATTGCTTTGAGAAGTATCTTAAAAATTTCAATCACATCATTAGTTTCTGGAAATGTCTACCCAGTGACAGTCTATAGAGAAAATGCAGAACAGAAAACACCACTGCACTTTACACATTCCAGCCTCTCATTTAATTGTTGATGTGAAAATTCAGAAATTCATATTCTAGTAGTTTTCTTCTAGTTGGATATAGTGCCTCTGTTTCAAAAGCAATTAGGTTTTGGTTTTTTTCCTGTGTGGAAAATTATTTACTATTTCTACCTTCTGCCAGGAAGGAAGTGGCATGCTTCTTCAAATTTTAAAATGCTTTGACCACTCAGCACATCCATGTAGGTGTGATTTTTCTTGAGAAGTTAGTAGTTAGCACTGACCCAGTAAGACGCATGCTGTGGGCAGAGTCGCAGGTGATTTGTGTGGGGTGGGGGATTTCCAGGGGCTCATCTAAGCCAGGCTTCATTGGGTTCTGAGACGTGATAGAATCACAGCACAGAGCACTGAACCTTCAGGGTAGATTTGTATCCTTTCTCCGTAATCACATGCTTGGCCTGGGTGGCAGGAGAACAAGCCTTTCTTGCAATGAGTAATTGGATGTTTTGCAATCAGTACCTTAATTTAGGTAATGCCCACAGCTATATGGTAGTGTATGTAAATTTACTGGAGGTTTAGTGAATAGATTGTGACTGTTTTGAGCACAAGATCAAAGAGATTTTTTTAAACCCAATCTAAACAACACCAAGCATAAAAAAATAATTTCTTCCCTGACATACACATGGAAGGAAAGTAAGAGAAGGGGTGAATAATATGTACATTAATATATACATTCATAGTATTTTTGCTGGACTTTTTAAATGAGGATGGGAAAAAAGCTGGGACAGTCAGGGTGACAGAAGCTTGACATGGAATAGGTTACTAAAGCAGCTGGGATTGTGTTGTCCACATGAAGCAAAATCTGTTCTGATTGTGAGAGGAAGAAGAAGCATTTCTGATTTGTCTGCAGAAAAATTTCTAGGCAGTGTAAAGTCTGCAATTCTGCAGGGAGTCACCCTGTCTTAGGGATGTCTCACTGGAGGTAAAACTTAGCAATAGTTATGGCTTTCATGGTAGTGTGTATGGCATGTTATTGTTTACATGGGACCTAATTTAACTTTGAGTCAGCCTAGATGGTAGCTAAACTCATCTAAGTATTGTGATTTCAAACACCTAAGTTAAGAAGCCTCCCTGCCTTTCTTTTATAGTATTTAGAAAAAATTTTAGTCTACTTTCTGCTTATAATGGTTTTCCATTATATAACCATACCCCTAGGTATGGAAGTAGCTCTTCTTTTCCAGATTTCTCCTATATTCATTTTTATGTCTTTTCTACAATAAGACCCTTAGCTAAAGACTACTTTTGGATGATCCTTAGTTTTGTAACTTATTTTGTGTGTATCACAGGTGAGTCAGCAGACAACAAAATGTGCAAAATCTTCCATAGTTTAACTCACTGATTTCACAGATACCTCTCATTTACATTAATGCTTTTTATGTGTCCCAGACAACCATTGTCTCAGAACCGGTGTTGTTGGTGCATTTGGGGGCTCTTTAGTGATGAAGAGTCAGAGAAACAGCTCTGAATAAAAGAGGTTGAGATGAATTGTAGATGAAGAGGAGGGAAAGCTTAGACAATTGGTTATTTGTTTTTTTTTTCAGGAAGGTAATGTTTGAATAATTTGCCAAAAATACATTCATTTATTTTCAACATTTTAAAATGCAGAAACTTTTATTTCATGTTAAGAAAGATCTTATTTCCATGCTTCATTAGCATAAAACCACTTCAGAATATCAGTTTTTTTAGTTCCCAGAATGAGATGTATTTTTTTATTAGTCTTGGTTGTACAGGCCTCACTGTTGTGAAATCATTTTAATAAGACCAATTGTTTTACAGTTCTGTGAAGTTTTACATTCCAGAATATGCACTGAAGTTGGAGTGTATTCATATTTGACCATTTTCCCTACACTACAAAACAGATTGAGCTGATATTTGCTAGCATGTATTAAAAGTAAAATGGAAAAAAAAAAACCTACCAAACAACAAAAAATCAAGGAGAAAATAGAACTAAAAAGCTACTTGGAATTGTTTTGTGAAGTTGTGTCCACAAAGAAGTCTTTGTTGTCAAATAAGAATATTTGCCAAGAGTGTGCCAGAGTAGTACTACTGAAAGTATCGTGATTTTAGTTGGAGCAGCAACCCCCTTGGAGATCATGGTAGATAAAGCTAATAAAGCCTAGCCTGTAACAGAGGTGGGTGGGGTGAAATCCCACAGTGCCTAGAACAGCTGTTGATGTTGAAACTGCAGTAATGCTCCTGGTGCTGGCAAACAGAAGAGGACACAGTACCTCCAGTGGTTCTGTAAGCTGCCCTCTTTCCTGGCAGAAATCAGGTCAGTGTGCTCCAGACCAATAAAAGCTGAAGTTTTCATTCTCTTCATGCTGCTTTATTGGATTGCTGGTGGTTTTGGTGTGGGGGGACAAGCACTGGGCCAGCAGGTTTAGGCCATGCTGTTCAGACCAGACTGAGGGAATTGTGGTTGGTCCCCTGCTGCAGTATCATGGCTTCTTCTTCATTAGGCATAAGTGAAGTTTCCATAAGTGCAGTAAACCTAGGAAAAAGGTGGGAGAGGGACGTGCAGGGAGAGCTCTAGATTTCTGCTGTTTTGTTCTTTTAATGGGAAAAATGGTAATCTATAATGGTGCAATGGGAATATATTTCTGGTTTTCTTGAGTTTTTCCTATGTTTCATTTATTTATTCATTATAGTGTGCAGCTGCAGTTCTAGGCATTTATATTCATACTGCCAACTGTAATAATTCTGAGTCAGTATGAGTTTCTGCTAAGTTACCCATCTCCTTTGTTCAAGGGGAGTGCGCAGGGAGTTGTATAAGTAAATGATTTCTTAAAAGAAAAGCAACATAATTTTTCAGCAGCTCTTTTCTATTAAGAGGAACTGGTCTTTAGTCTTGTGCCTCTCTTCCAAGTCATGTGCACAGCTTTTCTGGTAGATTTTTGCTTCTGCACATGTATGCAGTTGCTTCAGAGCTAAGTGAGTTAAACAGAAATAGAATCAAATCAGAAAAATTCCAGACACTTCATAAGGGTTACAAGGAACACAAATGAGAGCTATTGCCACTCTTCAGATGAAAATACCTCCCTCTCCAGATCAAGCAAAGGCCAGTGGATATGTGTTTGCTTAGAGGAAGATCCTCAGAACATTGTTGTTGGATGCAAATACACTGAAAAGATGTGCAAGTGAATGACACCTCTGGTGTATTCTGTCTTCCGAATCATTAAGGCAGCAATTTCACTTCACTCAGGTTACATTTTGCCTTCCCTGCCTAGAATGTGTTTTTTCATTCTCCCTTTCATAATTGGAATAGGAGAAATGTGTGGATTGATTATTGAAGTAGTCCCTATGTAAATAAACTAAAAAGTATAACATACTTAATAGAATACCACAAAATATGAACTGTGTTTTTAGTTGAACTTTTTTTACTGTTTAATTTATGCTTAAGTGTGCTGAACAATCTGCATATCTCAATGACTCTTAGAAGGGGGCAGTTTACCTGACTTGCATTTGGAACTGGAGTTTGCTCTAGATTCACTGACAAGTAGTTAACACACCATTGTTGAGAATTGCAACATGTATTTCATTCCCAGAAATACTGAGATGTGTCTGAAGTGTTTGAAAAAAATCTCTGAATAAATATAACAGAGTGGTAAACCAGAGGAGACCTTGAAGTAAATTTTTATCATCTTTTTTGACAGGTTTATGTCTATCATACCTGGAATCTAGCAATGAATAGGTTCTGACTTCAAAGAGCTTACAGTATCACATATTTTTTAATGTTTAGGATAATTTTCTTTGTAATTGTGTAATAAAATTTACAGTATTCCTCAAAAGAATTGCTCATTGAAATATACTAAAAATTTCTATTCTGTTTCTTGGATATGTTTCACATAGGAAAGAAGAGAAAGCAAACGAAAGCTGAGCAAAGAAATGTCAGAAAAAGCCACAAGAGAACTAGAAAAAATGCAGTTAAAAGAAAAGGCTGATGAAAAGTATAAAGAGTGGCTAGAGAAGAAGAGAGCTGAAGAGGCAGAAAAGAAGAAAAAAGAGAAGGTGTTAAATGAACTGATAATTTATTTGTATGGAGTTACTTAATCTGCAATTTATTGCAGATTCAGATTTGATATATTCAAATCTTACATGGACATCAAATGGCAGTGTTGTACATGAAGAAATTTGTTTGAAGAGTTACAGTGTTAGTGCCTTAAAGACACTGTGGTATGGTCAGCAAAGTAAGGTGCATGTTTAATGCAGTTTGGCATTTTTGTTAATTGCCTTTGATTTTTTTTCTCAGGGAAACACTGGAGTAACATGTAGGTTGGGGGTTGGGTTGTTTTTTTCAGTCTTAAACCAAAAAATGCATCTTTTCAATTTTTAGGAAAAGGTGCTTGTATTGGAAGAAATATTAAAATTTTATTCATCAGTCTGGAAATCTGCAAAAAATTATTCACTGTTTTGTGTATATTGTACAGGACTTTGTCTAGGAGTACCTTATTTTTTTTTATTATTATTTTTAGGAAAAAGAAAAAGAACGGGAGGCTGAGCTACAGGAGAAGAGAACAAGATCAGAGAAAGTTTTTAAGGAATGGCTGCAAAATGCTAGAAATAAACCACAACCTCATTTAAATGGTTATGGTTTCCCACATGGGAGGTCTACAGGTTTGTATGTATAGTACACAATTATGTAGTGACTTAAGTTTGAGGATCCTTCCTTTTAGTGTAAAATGAAGGCTGCTTAAGACACTCATCTAATGTCTAATTTTGGCACATAAGAATGATTACTTACACTATGCTATAAGTCAGGGGAACAGATTGACACCTTTTTCTGTATTTTTCTTTACCTTTTTTTTATTTGGAGTAAAATTACGTTATTTGAGATAATTATGTGGCGTACCAAAGGATGCTTTTATCTGATTTTTCTTACCAGGCACAGGAATCACTAGAGCAAAGCACTGGCTCCTGTGAAGCAAATTAGTTGTGTCCTTGTGAAGTTAGTTTTCCTGCTCCAGAAGGTGTGTGTCAGCACACCTGAATTCCCCTTAGAAAAGAGGTGGGGTTTTGAGACACTAGAACAATTAGAAGCTGACAGAAGTGCTGTCTGAAAAAGGAGACAGGGGCATCAACCTGTATGGAGCTAAAATTTCTTTCTGTTTCACTTTTCACCTGCATTGCACCTTCTTGGCTTCTGTAATCCTGTTCCATTTTTGTCTGAAAATATGTTATTTTTCTGCACAACTAAAATAATTGCTTCTATTTGACTTTGCAAGAGAAATAGTTTTGAGACCAAAATTGTGATCTCTGTATGTTTAAGAGACAGGTATAAGCAGGTGAATAACCTTTACTCTTGGGCTTACGTTTATTTGTAAGTAGTGATATACCTTGCCTTCATGTTTTGGTTGGACCTGCAATACATACTGACAGTTGTAGTCGTTTATTTAAATGATTTTTGAAAAATATTTGTCAAGTCACTTGTGGCATTCAGTATAATGTATTACAAACTTTGAAGTGTATCTGTCATGTGGTTTTGTAAAACAAAGTAGCCAATTTGTAGACATTTACACTTTTTAAGAACACAAAGCAGTGAGCATTCAACCTGCTTATCATTTAAGTAGAGATGAAGACTATGCCAGTTACTGTTTAAAAAACAAAAAGGTGGATTGGTTATCGTTTTGGGTCACTTAAATTATGTGATGGGCCTGTGCTGTCTTTCTCTGAAGACATTGTTGTGTTGTATTTAGTCCAGGTAATTATTATAACTGTTTGCATTGGCAATAACTATTCTTCTTAGTTATGTGTATTTTCTAAATGTTTTAGGGAGTGCTGATAGAAATTTGTATCCAGTTCCAGCATATTGTAACCCCATTCCTTGGAAACCAGTACATGTGCCTCCCCCAGAAGAAGACAGAGTTCTTGCTATGAAGAAGCCACATGCATCTTTACCAGTGGTGATTTCTAAGCCCAGGAGTAACCTGTGCAGAAAGAAGTTATAGTCCAGAAAAAATGTTCTTAAAATCTCGACCAAATTGGACCATAAATGTGAAGTTCTGTGTACTTATATACCCAGTGCAGATTGCTTTGTGCCTTTCTTTTTGTCTTTTTTTCATTTTTGTCAGCAAGTTTTGTATTTACTGCTGGTTGACCAATCAGGCTTTTAATGTTTTTTCTATATTGCATTTTAGTTAAAAAAAAAATAAAAAAGGAAAAGATAAATTGTAATGGGACTATACCTCAATGCCAATAAAATGCACAAGATTGTTTATTCCTTTCCTCTCTTGTTGTTGAAGGAATTGTTGTATATGTAATTATTCTTTTGGGCAACAGTATTAACTAGGTTATTTTAAAGATAAATTTGATTTGTAAAAAGTTGTTTTGTTGTGTTTTAATTTGTAACAAATTTTAAAACAGTTCTTGGCTTAGTGCAGAAGGAATTGGCCTGCCTCAGTTCCAGGGTTATCATGTCACTGGGATTACAGAGCTATAGTGGGATAGCTTACATTGCTGGAGTGCTGCAACAAATGGATGGAGGCTCTTCAGGGAAGCACAGGCTCTTTGCTGACCCTGATATTTACAAACCAGGGAGAGCTGGTCAGGGATGTGAAGTTTGGGGCCAGTGATGACATGCATGAATCTGTGGGATTTAGTAGGATGCTTCTGAGAATGCTGAGGAAGTGGCAAATGTCATGGTAAGGATACTCACAATTATCTTTGAGAGATCTGGTGATAAGAGGAGGTTCCTGAGAGCTAGAAGGAAGTGAATATCAACCCGGCCTTCAGGAAGGGTGTGTATGCAGAACTGCTGGCCAGTAGTCAGCCTCAGCTCAGTCACCTGGACAGGTGATGGATGTGGCTGCATGAGGAGGAGCATTGGCAACAAAGTGGGGAGTCTGTCCCTTGTACCACAGCGTTGTGAGAACACACTCAAAAGTGCTGTGCCCATTCCTGGGCGTGCAAGGAAAAGACTGACGCTGATGTTCTGGAGCAAGCTCAGTGAAGGGCCGCAAAGATGATTAAAGGATTGCAGCATCTGACAGACAGAAGCTGAGAGAGCTGTGACTGTTCAGCATGAAGGAGAGAAAGTTCAGTAACGTCTGAGCAATGTCTGTAAATACTTGATGGCTGGAGAGAGAGATCAGACCCTCCTCAGTAGTGACCAGCAAGAGGAGAAGAGGCAGTGAGTGGAAATCAAAATACAGGAAATTCCACTTAAACATGAGGCAAAAATATTTAAGAGAGAGTCCTTGAATGCTGGAACAAATTGCCCAGTGATGTTATGGAGTTTCCATTCTTTGATATACTCAAAACTTGACTGGACAAATCCCTGAGAAATCTTCTCCAGCTAGCCCTCTTTTGAACAACAGAGTTGGACTAGATGATTTCTAGAGATCCATTCCAATCTCAACAATTCAGTTATTAATGTGAAAAGGAAAACTTAGAAATAAAGAAGACTTATTTTTCCTGTTGTAGATGTATCACTTTGAGAAATACCTTGTTATCCTTTAAAAGTTACAATATTAAAAAGTATATTGCCTATTATAAAATTTCTATGGTAAGAAAACACATTAAGTCACATTCTGGAAAGTAAGTGTTCTATTGATTCTAGTTCTAGGCTTAATAGTGTATTTTATTTTCTTCAGAGCAAGTTGTAACTAATATTAAACTATCTCCTGTCAAGTTTATACTTAATACATTATTTGTACTATTAATTTGAGTGAATCAGTTTATACAGTATGCCTGTGTTTGTTCTTTCTAGATAGTGGCAAATGCTAACAAGACTGCAACCAACACCTTACATTTGGATCTGCACTGATAGATTATTTGGTTTGTGTTTGCATTTAGCCTTTCACAAAGTCTTAATTTTACTGTATGCATTTAGGAGAAGTCTGGAGTCTGTAAACTACATGGAACATCAAACTGTGTTTCTGGTAAGTAGGAGCACACAGAAGTTTGCACATTATCTTCAGGATGTAGAACTGTGTGTTCATCTTTTTCTATAAGAACCTCTGCAATAGATGGGTATGAAACTAGTGGATTAATAGATTAGTTGTTAATCTCACCATTTTACCATGTGGAAATGTCTAGTCAGACTTAGAAGTTTCATAATTATGTTGTAGGCACCCAGTGTGTGGTGTTTGGGAGTGGGGCTGAGCCTCATCCCCAGTGGGTGCAGCTGTGAAAAGCAGGTGAGCAGCACTGCCAGCACTGAGCCACGGAGTGCCCAGGTGTGCTGAGCAAGCACACAGGGCACAGAGGCACACAGGTGGAATGCATCAACAGGAGGGGATAAAAGGTGGTAAGCAGATTCTCAAGGCTTTCTTTGGTGTCAGTGGTGGGTCCAGCATCATTCCCATATAATGGTGACTCCAACATTATTTGGGATTTTGCTGTAGGATGAGGTGGAGATGGAGCGCAGCGTAGCCTTTAGAGCAGTAGGGGGATGCTGCCTGATGGACCAGACTGGATTTAACACCTGGGGTAGGTGAGCTGCTGGGAGCATAATGGAAAATAACTTAGGACCATCTAATGCAACAAAAACTGTAAAAGAAACAAGAGAAGTGGTTAAAGCAGCAGTAGGAGCTAGAGACAGAGTGGCTCTGTTGTTCAGTGCCTTGTGCTCACCTGCTGGTAAAATATGTGTACTGTGCTTGTGAATTGCAGCTGTTAGGATGCGAATATGTAGATTCTATCTTATTCTTGTATGCTACTTTATAAAGTTGTGTGGCTGTCCATGGAATTCTGTAACTGTAATTCTTGTGTGTTACTTTATGAAGTTGTGGCTGTTGATGGAATTCTCTGTTATTTTGTGTGTTGCCTTATGAAGTTGTACAGCTATTGATACTGTCAATATTCTAGAAGTGTAGCTATAAGGATTTTGATGGTATGAAATGAAAGTTTGGGGAGTGAATCAAGGTCAGTACATGTTCCAGAGTCAGTGGAGCCTACACAAGGGATACTTACACCATATTTGCTGATTCTTCAGCAAGGGCCCTGTAGGGGGATGATAGACATGGCATTAAATTAAAAGAAAAAAAAGGAGAATTATTGTAGGCACAGAGTTTGTGGTGATTGGGAATGGCATGGCTGTGGCTGATCTTCATCCCCAGTGGGTGCAGCTGTGCAGGACAGATGAATAAAATTGCAGGTAAGGAGCCATGGAGTGCCCAGGTGTGCTGGGCAAGCACACAGGGCCCAGAGGCACACAGGGGCAGTGCATCAACAGGAGGGGATGAAAGGTTGGGCTGAAGAGCAATAAAGAGCAGATGACTGAACCCTTGGGTGTAGTTGTGGCTCCGCTGTCACTCTGATATTATTAGGTAAGCTGTGTGAAGCTTGTGGGTGTTTAAGATAAAGGGACAGTATTTTGCTGTAAGGCAAATTATTAGTTTTGGATTAGATTACAGAGATTTCTTGGGACTCTGATTTAGTTGAAGATTTGTATACTATTTTAGTGTTTTCTCTAACGGGTTCTCTGAATGTGGCGAGGTGTGTTGGCATAATTATATGAGTGTATATCGATGGCTTTGTATTTCTTTTTGGATTTTTTTGCTTGTAGTGACATAAAATTAACTAGAAGACTTACAACCCCTAAAATAGAAGCTTTAAGATGAGGCACTTGCTGTAGCTTATCCATAGCATTGTAAAGACAGTTCTGTCCTAACTAAATTGCAGCAAAAGATTAAGGCAAGATAGCTGCTGAATCCACATAATGATTTTGCTAAAGAAGAGAAATAATGTTTGGATTTTTTCCAGCAAGGTATCAACTACACAATAAATTGGGCTGGTCTTGTAGCATCAGATGGTGTGCTACAGAAGGCTATAATTTTATGCTGTTGTGGCAAATAATTTGCGCCATTCTTTCTCAGACGTTAGAAGATAAAATCCTGACACTAGAGCAACTAGTTTAAAGGGTTAATACCAGTGGTTTGATTTCCACTGATGAGAAGTGATTTCTGTCTTTGTTAGGATATCTGTGCCAGGCTGAGCACAGCTCACAGGATGCTGAGTGAGGCAATGGCAGATCTGTAGGACGCGTGGGTCTCTGGCTGACCTGGAGTTCACTTCCCCACAGCAATCCTCACAGTGCTGTGCCTTGCATTGCTGCCTAGAAAGGTGTTGTTAACAAAATTGCAAAACCAATTTCCATACTAGATGCAGCTGCCAAGATGCAGGAAACAAAGATGGAAGGTGGATGGATGACAGGTGAGGCTGCAGCTGTGGCTGGGCATAATATGATGCCTCTGCTGCATTATTTATTTCACACGATACCAAAATTTATACACTGGGACAAGTGAGTTATTGTGCCCTTCCAGCACTTTCTCCTCTGCCACTCTATGCACAGTTTGTCAGAGGTGTCCTAACCCAAATATGCATGGCAACAGCCTGAAGTGCCCTCATCAGCAGAATCTGGACAGGGATATTTATTATGCTGAGTGCCAAAGCTGCTGCACTGATCCAGTGTTGAACATTAAAGTTTCTGGCTGGCACTTGTAATGTTCCAGCCCATTGGAGCTGAACATTACCCGTGTGGAACTTGCCTGTATGTATTTCAAACTCAAATGGCTTCAGACCTTAGTTCTGTTTCATATCCAAATACTTCTACTTCTCAGAAAGGAAAATGGGAGGTAAAACTACCAGCATTCTTGGTGTAGGGAAAGTGGGTACTATAACCCAAATGAATTTAGCAAGGAATGTATTTTCATGCTGGTTTAATCAGCTAGTAATACAAAATGTTACAGAAAATGTAATTTGAAGAAACTAGGATTTAGGTGCTGCTGATGATTTTTTTCTCTTTTTCTTTTTTTTTTTTTTTTTTTATTTTTTTTTTTTTTTTTTTTTTTTTTTTTTTTTTTTTTAACTGATGTTACTATTGATTTATTTGTACAGTCCATGCTTAAATGCTGACCAGGGAATGATTTTTGCTTCCTTGTTAAGCTGAACAGCTTTAGAAATTGAAAATATTTAATGCAATTTCCTGAATGTAGTGAATGTGCTGATCATGTTTCATGAGATTCCAACACAAACAGATCTTTGAAAAAAATTCTCTATACTGTCTTTGTTATTTCAGGTGGTCTGGGTGTGTTGCTCTTATATAAAATTGTTAGGGTTCTTCTAAGGCTGCTTCAGAGGTGTGAGATTTCAGGATTAAAATGCTTAAACAGGAGTAAGGACAATATGCTTCAACTTTGTGCCTTTTAAAACTATTGAAGTGTGTCATTGCCACTTAACTCTAAACCTTTGAGATTTTAAAGCATAATCATCTTGCAAAGCAGTTCAAATGGTTGGTACAGTCACTCTAAAATGTTCTTCTACTTCATGCCTAGTTAAGTTAGACCAGTGATTTGTTGTTAATTTACTGTCCTTGTCAATAGATTTACAGAATTTGACCTCTCTCCTCTTGAAACTTTTGACATTCCTTTTGAAATGGTTGTAGGTTTTTTTATAATAGCTTACAGGTAATAATAATTCCAGAGTCAGTGGCTCAGAAAATGAGATATGTGAGTTTCAGTCTCTCATCCACTCACTTTTACTTATATACACAAAATAAAACACTTTCAGCTGAAAAATTAAACAGCTCGAGGTCATATTCTCTCACCTGAGTACCATGGATGAAATTAATGAAAATAGCAAGTTGGTTGTTGAAAGATACAGTTCTGATTTTTTTTTTTTTTTATTCCAGAAGGTCTGTGAAAAATCTTTTAATCGTATTTATGATTTTTTTTTTTAATTGTATGTTAAATGCTGTGTGACAATATTTTAGTCTTTTGTACTCTGTGGGAAGTTTTAGGTTGGGTTTGGATACAGTTTGAATGATATTTCAGTGGAAATATCTGAGGTGGGAAAAAATTTACCTCTACTGATGCTAAAACCTTATTATTTTTACAGCTGTGTCCCTTGGTATCAGAGTTAAGCTTTAGCTGCACACAGCTGGTTGGCAAGCTATGGATGTGTGGATGGTAACTCATATTTGTGCACTGCAACTTGTGTTTTCCTGTGTGCTCTGCAGAGAGGCTTGCTAGGAAGAGAAACATTTAATTGGCATTTTGACTTTACAAGTATTACAATACTGTGCTACTGTTTCCTTTTAATTTTGCTTGTATTCAGTTGTAAACTTTGTGTAAGTCCTGTGCAAGAAGGATTTGCAATCTAGACATTCTAGACCAAATCACTGAGAAGCAAAAGACACACCTCAGGAGCTGATGATATGATCTACAAAGTCTGTCTGGGGAATGGTTTGTTTTCTCCCTTCTGCTAATACTATGAAGCAGTTTTGTTCTGTTTTATCTTGGGACTTTTTCATTAGTAGAAACAGACAAAATTACTTTTTTATTTGCATGAAGATTTCATACCTACTTCTCTCAGTCTTAATATATGTATGTGCTTTTAAATGTATGAAAAACATTTGGCTAAGTTTTAGTATTACTTCAGTTTCTTAACACAAAAGGGAATTAAATTGAATTATGAGC